AGAAAAACCAACATATCAACACAATCAAAATAATTCAATTTGGATTTAGCAAGTTAAAACTCGCAAGGGAGGGAATGCGTCGGACCCTAAGCCATAGATGACCACCCCTAATTTTCATTACTACGAGTATTAAGAACACCATCTTCCTGGACAAGAATTTCCGTGCCCAATGCTTTTAGGAGTCCTTTACCATCTAATTTTGGTGCACTGCGACCGCCAATATCTAGGATCTCCTTTAATTTTTCGTACGAAATTGACGCCAATTCTCCGCAACTTAACTTCAGATCGTCCTTTCCTAGGAATGCATCCTTAAGCAGTGGGGTCCACACGTATGCGTTAAACTCGCTTTCAGATATAGACTGTAGCAAAATGTCGTTTTTATATAAGAAAAAAAAGTGGTTGAAAAGATTCTGTACGTAAATGAGGTCATTCGTTGCAGTGGAGTGATTAATCGAATTTTCGTCAAGACATTCTCCAAGGGACTTCAAATTGTCTACATGATCAAATTTCTCCAAGAAGTGCAACACTTCCTCTTCGCAATCAACCGTAAAATTATCAATTTTTCGTTCATTAGTAAATTGAATGTCTCTAGCTTCACAGTTTTGGAGCTGATTTGCGATAAAGTACTTAAAATTTTCAGGTAAAAACTTGGTGCAGTCTGGATTATGAATGTTAATAACACCAATGCAGATGGGGCTTTTCGCTATTTTAGATTTCATATTCATATTTGATCGAGCCGAATCTAAAACATCTAATCCCTCATAAATCAATTTTTTACCCGCTAAGACGTCCATCTGATATGCTCTGAAGCTATGTCGCGGTTGATATATTTTGATTTTTGTTTGCTTTTGTCCCCTACTTTTGCCGATTCCAAAGATGAATCAACTTCGGTAGTGTTTGTATAAGATTTTTGCGATAAAGTCTCAGAGGAGACGTTCGTAAGGGAATTAGGAGAGATTTCATCATCAATAGACTTTATTTCGCTATCGGTTTCTTCGTTTAACACTTGGGATTCGGTATAAGATAGTTGCGCTAAAGAAATCTCGGAGGAGACGCTCGTAAGGGAATTAGGAGAAAGTCCATCATCAATAGACTTTGTTTCGCTATCGGTTTTTTCGTTTACCATTTGGGATTCATTATAAGATAGTTGCGTTAAAGTAGTTTCAGAGGAGACGTTCATAGGGGAATTGAGAGAAAGTTCAACATCAATAGACTTTATTTCGCTACCGATTTCTTCGTTTACTACTTTGGATTCGGCATGAGACAGTTGTGTTAAAGAAGTCTCAGAGATGTTCATAAGGAAATTGGAAGAGGACTCTTCCACTACCGTTCCATTAGTGGTTCGTATCTACAAACACCTCCGAAATTTAAGAAGACATTTTTATTGCAGGTCATAGGAAACTACAAATACCTTATTTTTCGGAATTTTGCAACGGTTTCGTTTGTCAGCTCCTTTATCAAAACAATTCACGTCATCTTGTCTCTTACGTTTTAATAATAACTTAGTTTCAGAATATGAAACGGAACGAACGTCTTCTGCTGATTCATTTACGGCACGTATTGTACTTTCGGCATGTCTTAACTGCTTATAATATTAAGTTGGTTTTTGAAATATTTATTAAAAATTATAAACAGTAATTAACTGACCTCAAGTTCAATTCTTTTTTCATAGTTCTCCGTGCAATTCGATGAACAAAACGAATTTGAAAGCCCCCCATTAGACTTGTTGAAATAAATAAAAGTAAATAAAATTGGTTATAATATGCGCCAGAGATTAATAAATTAATGTTACTTCAGCTAATTTATCTTCCTCATCTTCACATTCAGGACGCCAGTTTCCATCGCTATCATTTGATCTTACAAAAAACGGATTATTCTTGGGATCTTTGATTATTTTATTCTCTGACGTTTGTGGTTTAGATTTATCATTTGATGGAGGTTGAAATTCATTTAGAGCTTCTTCCTCATCGTTGATCTTTATAGTGAAATTTTTGATGGTATTATACGCTGAAATTCGTCCCGCCACTTCGTGTGATGACTGTGAAGACAAGATCGTCAATTAATCAGAGATCTATTGCTATATAACAGCGACAAAAATCAAACATACCCGCCAAGTGAAGCCTCCACATCCAACCAGTACTTCTCACAGTCAATTGAATGCGTCCACGACTATAAAACGAACAAACTGATTAATCAAGAAAATATCATCGTCGACATCTATTGGTGAAATTTCTACTTACTTCAAAACTATCTAACAAGCAAATCGCCTTTTTCCGATTGATAATATTGTTCTCATTCTTGATTGCTGTAAGTAACTCTCGTAATTTTTCCTCAGCTTGTTTCCGTGAAGTATGTGAGTAGCCAAGTTCTTTGTAAAAGTCCTTCGGCTTTAGGTCTTTGAGGTTATCGCGTACCCAACTTAGCATTATTATCTGTTATGTGATGCGTCACGTAAAGAAAATTTTTTTTGGAAGATGATGACAAGAAAAAGTCGCGCCCAATTTTTTGCGATTAAGTAGTGTTACTATGATCACGTGCTGTGCAACTAGCTATGATAAACGAAATTTGGTCCAGTAGAGATTAACAGCTACGCGTTCACAGACTATCAGTGTTTCGGTCTGATAACGACCGGCGTATCAAGGGTGGTGTCATCAGTGAATGGTTGCGTGGCGATGCTTGCACTCGAGGTGCTTCATTGACAAAGATGGTTTGGTCAGTAGGCGCATTCTTCGAATGGTCCGCCCCATTGCCACCACGTAACGACCTGATTTAGTCTGTGTGGATATTTCTGTCGTGTTTCGATATTTTATCGGTGTCCAAGGGTTGACTTTTTTTCTATCAGTGGACAGTTGTGTGGCGACATAGTGCATCGTTGAAAAGATGGTATGATCAGTAGGCGCACTTCTTCGAATGGTCCGCTGTTCTGCCACCATACAACGACACTTCAGTTATGTCTTCAGCATTCTGCTGAGCGCAGTCAATTCGTTTATATTTTACTACAATCAAAGTCTCGATTTCCAAGTCCCATATAAAAGGTACACGCAACCATGTTTGAGTTTTTTAATTCAACAAATCACAACATCAAAAAAAATTAAGCTAAACTTTATTAATATTTCAGATAAAGAAGATGCTAAAAAAGCAATTGAAATGTATGCTATCAAAGAGGGTGAATCCTAGGCCATTTAATGCGAGTCCCAGCATCATTTTATTTCTTCGCTCTCTTACATTTACGAAAAGTATCTACTAAATTTCCGAAATAAATTATCCCACCAATATTTGTCTATCTATATCTCTCCCAAATATACAAAATATTATTTCTCGAAAGAGAACTTCTCTGAGATTAAGAAGTTTCGAACCTATAGTAAAATTACGGAAGCATTAGCAACTGAGATAAAAAAAAAAAATAATATAATAACGATTTACACTTACCATCACGATTCATTTTCACATCCATTCCACAAGATATTTATTGCTTAATTTTTTCTGCGTTATCGCCAGTACGATACTGCGCAAAGTTTTAAGAATTCGGCACGTGAATATGCTTATATAAGATAAATTTTTTGATGCTCTTTTGCTGTGCCGTTGCATGTGACGAGATTCATGTTGTGAGTAATTTCACTGCGTCTATTGTACGCGTGATGATGGTCAGTGATTTTCTCAGCGAAGATCAGAATGCCGATACATAGCAAGAAGAGTAATATGTCCGTTTTATTATGGAACATCTATAGCGGAAAATCGATTAAGATCGTGATGACATGTTTCAAGAAGCTAGCTGAGCAATAAACTAACTTACTTTATAATACTTTACGGAATATACTCGTTTGTTTGATTGGAGATAATATTGTTGATGTAAATTATGGTAAGTTTGAATGTTTCGCTTATTTTTTATTTGTTATTTGGACAAGGCAGACAAAAGGATTCACTAACCAGGTCATCACCTTTTTATATAATTCACAGGATTGATTTTGTTATATGCTTTTGGGGGAAATTACGTTAATATGATCACATCGCGAGAATCTGATCAACGGACTCTCCTTAATATAACAATAAAAAGAATTTAATGCTATCCATATGTAAAGATCATCAAGGGGTCCTTTTACAATAATATACGTAATAATTTTGAGAATATGCAAGAAAGTTTGAGAATAAAAGTCCCTAGATCTTCACTGGGAATCTTATTGCCCAATAATTTGCCGATCCAGATTTCCTAAATTACCTGTATTAACATGCGAGTAATAAAAATTAGCACTGTATGTACATTGAATCGTCACAAGAAAAATATTTGAATACATTGCTCGGGTCACTTAGTGGCCTAAACGTCTTTTATTTGCAATACATTAAGCTAAAAAAATTACATAATGCGGGACTAGCCCTGAGTATATAATGCCATTCTATGACTTTAGACTATTTATTATACACGATTATTTTTTCGAATGATATTCATCTATTCTAGTTTTTTTTCTAAAGTTTGCCAATACATGCTGTGTCATATGATAATTGTGAAGACTCTTTACACTTCCAGCAGGATCTAATTCAATGACGTCTTACTGCACAAAACATATACTGCAGAGAAGTAGAGATGACGTACTTACTGCACATGATATATTTTAGAAAGCCTGTCAGTGTATGATATCTAAGCTACCCATGTGATTCGAAAAAAAAAATGTAGTAAGAAACTTATAGGACAATCGAGTACCAAATATGCGAAATTCTTCTAAGCGGTTACCAGGATATAATAGGACTCATCATTGGGAAGGATTTTCTTTTGTATCTTCCGTTACAATAGTAATAACCTCTATCACATTTACCATATTCATTATATTCATTATATTCACCGTATTCATTATATCCATCATCATCTGAATCATCTGGCATCTTTTTAGAATCATTGGAATCAGAATCATTGTCTGACTTACTTTTATTTATTTCTCCCTCTAATTGTGAAACAATTTCTTTATTCGTTTCTTTCACCAACTGGTATGTGAAATCAATTTCTTTATCAAAATACACACAATCCTTTACACAATTTTCCAAGAGCATTTTGTAAAAATTGTCCTCAGCTTTAAGCAAATTACTTGGACTGACTTCTTTAGAATCATCAGAAGAATTAGAGTTATGGGTTAAATGGATAGATGCTGTTGATTCGCTTACTTTCGCTGAAACTAAAGGATTCACTTGCATCTTTGATATATTAGTTTGACTGAAAAAATCATCATTAATAAATTGTCTAGATTTTTACTAAAATCTGTACTAGGTCCATTATTAGTAAACTTTGATATTTCATTTGCACTATATGATTTGATATACTGGATTTTATCCAATCCTATTTTTTTGAGAAGTTTGTAGATCTTCTCAGCTCTCTGAGTTTTTGCGTTAACCATCTCTTGTTATGTCTGGAAGTAGCAACCCTGTATCTTGAGATCTTGTCTTACAAAAGATATTAACTTGCATCACGACTTCTTCGTATATTAGACTTCTTACCTTCTTTCACCAATTTTATTTTTATCATACAAGGCCTCTAACTGAAATATGAAATTTCTTTCATAATAGTATCAGCAAAATATTTCTTTTTGATTTACTTTTAATCTATACTCTTTTGTAATAAGCGTTTTATCACATAATTAGATCAAATGCTAAAATATCTCTATTATAGTAGTCCTATAAAATGAAGACACTAATGCATCTAAATTATCAGATTTGTAAAATTACGCGATCTCAGAAATTTTAATCACATAATTGTCTTTAGACATGAATGAAGAGATTTCTTAAATCAATCCCTACCTATTTTTTTCATTTTTCATTTTCTTATTGCATCACTTTATTTCACTATTAATGATTTTCTTATAAATCTTAAGCAAGAAATTATTCATATCTTTCTTTTTTAACGATTTACCATTAAGGCGCTTTGCATAGTTAACAAGTACTGTCGCCACTTCTGTTATCAGTTCTTGTTTATTATAGCAAACCTCTTCAGGAAAGGAATTATCTGTTTCTATATTATCAATGATTTTTCATGATACTTCACAACTAAATTAAAGTTAGATGTACTATCATCAGTAGAATATCATATAATCATTCTTTTATTAGTAAGGAAGCTTATTTTACTATCACAAATCTGTTTTCAAGCTCCTTATTTTTTTGCTCCAGTTCTTTAGCTCTAATATCATGTTTAGTATTTTTCTCTATAACCGCTTTAAAAGTTCAGCTTTTTCAGCCTCAAGTTTGACATTCTTAGCCTCAAGTTTAGTGATACGCTATTTCAATACTTTAAGCTTAGATGGCATAATTGATAAATTTTATACAAGAAGTGAAATATTCAAAAATTAGTTAGTATATATAAATATACATAGAGACTGTAACATTTTACCAAGAGAAATAGGTTATTAAGTCACCAGATTTCTGAGACTGTACAGTCTCAGAAAAATGCTAAGAAAAAATTTTATTAATATATGCAAAAATAAATACAAATGTTCAGAATGTAGCTTAGGATACATATTATTTTTTGATAATTTTTTTGATTCTAGCCTCTTGCTAGCTGGGAAACTATCTACACTAACACGATTTTTTAATAACCTAACAATAATATCTAGTATCCTTTTTATGTTACTTCAAAGTAACTCTAAATTTTCCTTGATAACGAATTTTGTAAGATTAATCTGGTATTCACTTCCACTTGTAGAGTATATATCATCAGGAATATATATGATAAAATGCCACTCTATACCTGTAGTCACAATACTATATATATAATCAAAATAGTCATTTTTAAATGCTTGATTTACAGTCTACTTCTTTTTATTAGTCTGAAATGCACTTTTAAAATTGTGTCAAATTCTAAGAAATAAACCATCATTAAAATCTCTAATATGTTAGAAAATAAAAATGTGGATAATAGATCCACCTGCACATATCCAATCTTAATATTTCGTGATTTCTCTTCAATAATACAAAGAAGGTTTTCTAGACTTTTGATTGCGTAGTCTATTCTACCTGTTACATTTTCACTAGATATATCTTTCTGTAAAACTATAAATATATCTTGAAAGGTAAGTTTTTTAGCTATAGCGATAGATGCATAAAGAATTGATAAAATAAGTTCACGGCATATCACCTTGTTGATATCGGTCATAATTTTCACATTTAAAAGTTTTAATATAATATCTTCTATACAGTATTCGAATACCTTATTATCATCATTAATCTTTTCGAAGACTGCAAGTAGAGAAATATAAGTTAATATATGTAATACTCCAATCTGAAAAATTAAGAGAGTAATTACATATCAGAAGTAAATTGCTTAATATTTGTTATATTCTCCCTATTGACCTTATTTCTATGTAATATTTCTTTTAAGTTATCAAGAGTTTTGAGTAAAGAATAGTTTTGTAGCTTCTGGCTAAGTCCTTTGATAAAGTTTACAAGTCTTGTTACTAGACCTCTATTCTAATAATTCCTGTATATTAAAAATACCTGTATGTATTATATATAATTTGTATTATATGTTATATCTTCAAATGAAAAAAATGTAAAATATAATATCCCTTATATCTTTGGTACTGTGAAAGATTAGCTGACTATTTAGTGATTTTTTTTTCAGAATTTTGATATAAAATATTAGAAAGCTTTTATCTTGATTGAAGGATTTTAGTCATATCCTTCTTTATTGCTTATGGGTAACAGTCTTTCATTCTCTTATTACAAATGTTTCAACTGAATCAGATTCTTCAGAAGACTCAGACGAATAGGAGGAATTCTTACATCCTTTCGGTCTTTTTTTATCAATTATTAAGAGAACTATTTTATGTATTAAGTCAACCACAGTTTTTCTATCCACACATTTATCTAAATCTTCTAATTCAATTTCTAAAGACTTTATATCTCTCTCCAATCTTTTTACCTTCTTTTTTAAAGTATTATATTAGAAATGATAATCTTTTAATTATTTTTTAACGTTCTATTTTCACTAGAATTTTCACTATTCTGCATTTTGATTATTTAGTCCTAATGACTGAACTAATTTCTTTATATATCTGATAACTTTCTACTTGCTGAATACATCAGATGAATGATTTTAATTAGTATTATTTTTATGATATATTCTATATGTTATATCTTACCTCAAGTGAAAAAATAAAATAAATAAATGATATCCTGACCCTCTAACCCATATATATGATTAGTTTTTATCAAAGAGTTTGAATACTTTTGCCTGATGATACAGTTCTCTCTTAACTTATAATTTACTATAGTATAATTTTTTGCAGAAAAGGCATGATTATCAAGCAAATACCAAAGTGATTCATTGGCAATAGTCATAGCCTCTGATAAATTCTTCGCTTTATAAACCATAACTGCAAATATTACAGTAGTGGTCATAAGTATCCGACCGCCTCTAACTCCGGCTACAAGTAAGTAAATTCAAAATTTTTTTTTTATTTAAAAAATAC